GGACGCCGCCTCTGTGCCGCCTCCCGCCGCCCGCCCTCGCCCGGAGCCCGGCGTCCCTGCAGCCCCGCGGAGGGCGTGGGCCGGGCCGCGGGCAGCCCCGCTGAGGCAGGATGTTCACGTCCAAATCAAACTCCGTGTCGCCCTCGCCGTCCCTGGAGCAGGCCGACTCGGACGCGCTGGACATCAGCACCAAAGTGCAGCTCTACGGGGTGCTGTGGAAGCGGCCTTTCGGGAGGCCGTCGGCCAAGTGGTCCCGGCGGTGAGTGCGCCCCCAGCGCCCGCGCAGGACCACAGGGGAGGGAGCCCCGGCCCCAGGACCCCTCCCATCTCCTCTGGTGGCCTGCTCTGTCTGCCTCCGTGACCTTGGTCCCAGCGGGTTTCGCTCTGTCTCCTTCTCCCCCTGGAAGATGTGCCTCTTAGCCTGGGCCGCAGAGCAAGGGGGGACCCACCAGCCTGGGGTGTGACGAATTCTCTGGGACGAACCGAGTCCCCCGTGGGGAGGCTGTTTGTGGGTAGAAGAGATCTGGCCTTGGAAGGAGCCCAGAGGGTCAGTGTGGGCCTGACTGTGTCCCCGAAAGAGAAACCTCACCTCTGGCCAAAGATACCCTCCAAAGACCCCTGCAGCCAGTTCCAACCTCTTCACAACCCCCTCCCCAAGGCCGCAAGGAACAGGCTTAGGAGGTGGGACGCTAGGGCGCACCTCCAACCCTCCAACCCTCATGCTTGCACGGAGCCAGCCCCAGCTCAGGCCGGCACAGGCCAGTGCTGCTTCTGAAAGGCTCAGACCAGGGGAGGGAGGAGGGGCCAGAAAGGGTCTGTGCTCTCTGCAGAGAGGATGGGGCAACTCTCTAACTGTCTCTTTTTTTTTTTTTTTTTGGAGAGATTTTCACTGTAGGGCGCGTGCGCTCGCCAGACAGACAGAGAGAGACATAGAGACAGAAAGCGAGAAATCACCCCCCAGGGGGGATGGTCACACCACAATCCCTTCTCCTCCATTCTCCTCTCAGGATCTTGGGCACGCACGCACACGCGCCCGGCGTGAGTTTTAAGCCACCGGGTCCGGGACACGAACCGCGGTTCGACTACGTGGGAGTCCAGCGACATAGCCATTACGCTAACTGCTGGTTCCCAAACTGTCTCTTTAAATACTTTTTTAAAAAAAATAAAAGTAGGCCAAGTGAAAAGGGCTTTCAGTGTCTTGAACATAGCCATCATGCCAACTTCTGGTCCCCCTCCCTGGTTCTTAATCACCAGCTTCCTGGTCCCCGACTCAAATGGGACTCCCCAGAAATCAGTAGCCACTTTCTACTTACAAATGAGCCTGGGAGGTAGGAGGAGAAGGGCGCTCACAGCCCTGGACTTATAGGAAGCTCCCCGACGCTGGCTAAGGGTGCTGTAAACCATCTTCTGGACAGTGTTTATCCTCCAGATTTCAATTGAGAGTTACTCCCAGTGTATTCTAGAGAACTCAGACCCTGTCCAGGCCCCTCGCCAGAGGTGTGTCTCTTCCCAGGATCTAGGGGTGCCTCCAGATGCCCTTCCCATCCCACACCATGAGTCTGCCTATGAGCAGGGGGGCCTCAGATGTTTCCAGGACCACAGATCATGTGGGTGTGCTAGTGGTTGGTTCTGATGTTCTCTTTTGATGAATAATTTATTATTTCTGTAAACTCACAGGAACAAATGGAGCTATGGATGGGATTCACTTTGCTTTAGAGAGAGATTTTTACTATAGGGCTCAAGTGCTTGCTAGAGAGACAGAGTGAGAAATCACACCCTCCTCCCGCCCCAGGATGGCCACACTACACCCTTCTCCTTCATTCTCCTCTTGGATTTTGGGCACACATGCAGAAGTACCTGGTGTAAGTTTCAAGCCACCGGGTGATGACTTGAACCATGGTCAGCCATGTGGGAGTCCAGTGCCTTAACCACTATACCACCTGCTGCCCCCCGCTCCAGATTCACGTTACATAGTTGGTTTTATGTTCTTTTGTTATTCTTGGTAGATTTCTCTCTGGGATTTAATGGGATACAGGCTCCTTGAGTTCCTCCAAAGTTAAACTGGCTTCTGACCCTCTAACTGGGGACTTCGAGCAGCACGGAGACTATCTGAGGGCCTCTCAGGGTCATGCTGTCTGCTCATAGCCCTGCAGGGCCAGGAGCAGTCTTTTCTCTATCAGAGCCCGTGAGTGGGGTGTAGATTTGGGGACCATTAACAGAGGCATGTCCTCCGCCCATCTCCTGTCAGCCTCAGCTGCCCCATGCAGCAGCACTCCTGTCCATCGGGTCTGGCTGCTGTCCTGGTATCCCTTCTGGGTCCTGTCATCCAAGACTTCTTGCCAGGCATTACACCTGGTTGCATCCCTAGTAAACGTTAGGTACCTGTGTCCCCTCCCCCCCCATATGTCCTCTGGCCCCTTCACCACTACAGGTACATGGGGACCTGGGCTCTGCACCCACAATTGACCCTGAGGCTGGAATCAACTTGGTGTCAGAGCTGAGAGCTCCCAGCCAAATGCACTGTGCTGGGGCCAAGGGAGTCTTGGAGAATCTCCATTGGTAGCCCACAGCCACCCCGAAACCCACCCAAACCATCAGAACAGTGTGCATGCCCTGCAAAGACAGCTTCGAGTCAAGCCCTCCAGCCCCCATCCGAGGAGACTGTCACCTCTACTGCCTTTATAGGAGTTCTGGAGCTACCATTGTACGAAGACTTACCTTCCTTTGGGACTCAGGGAAAGAATCCCACCTGCCCACTCTAAGCTCCGTCCATGTCCCAGATCTGGGAGTACACAATACACACGCATACACACACATGTGCGTGCACACACGCCTTAGCCTTGGGTCTGCATGGGGGGAGGCATGATGTTCAGCTCAGCCCCCTCTCACTTCCCGGCAGGGCCCCCTGGGCCCCAGTTTCCCATTTGTGAAGCAGAGTCTCTGGAACTGAGCTAATTAGCAGCCACAGGAAGGCTTGGGGACAGGGCTGCTCAGGACTGCCACTGCAGAGCTTTGCCATTAGGGCGATCGATGACCAGGCTGGGCGGGCTAGGAAATGGGGTCTGGGAAGGCGCTGTGCTGCTTGAGTAATGATTGGGAGGGCAGAACCGGCTGTGGTCTCGGTTTCTGCCTCCCTGGGGTTGGAAGATGCCCTTGAGTTTAAGGCTCCTCTTGTTTTCCCATGGGAAACAAAAGGGAAGGGGATTAAAACCATTAATTAGCAGAGACAGGAGAATCTGGGTAGTGAGGCTGTGCCTCTGTCCTCCCCCTGCTCTGTGGAGACGCAGGTGCAGGGACCTGGCTGACCTGTGGCCTCCCAGACAGGAAGGTGGGAGTGGGGAGTCAGAGCCCCCGCAGTGTCAACACTGTCTGAGCAGGCCATAGGGCAGCCGGGCTGACTCGGGGGTTCACTACTTTCACCAGCATTCTAGCCCCTCTTCCAGATCCTTCCTGAAAACTTTCCAAGGCTGGAACCCCTAATGAGGAGGCCCCAGCCAGTTCCTGCAGCAGGGACATTGCCACTCCTTGTCCCTTCTTCCTCCCAGGACAAGATGGCTGGTGGAGCCTGAGCCCCCCCAGCAGCAGTTGACTCCTGCGAAACATTTGTGGGTCCCTGCCATGGGGGTGAGATCCATGGTGTCCCTCAGGTACAGGGGACCATAGAGACGTGGCCACATGTTCCAGATCTCAGGCCAGAGCCTGCCCAGGTGGGGCAAGATGATCTGTGCAGACGGCGGTTGCCATGCCAAGGTTTGGGGAGACTTTCCTCCCACGGGGGTTTGGGCCCCAGGGTTTGGTTTGGCACTGAGCACTGCTTCGCCAAGGTGATGCTCTAATACCAGACTGTCACAGAGGACTGAGGGTTCAGCCTCCCCCCAGGGACCCGGAGTTGGGTCTCACTTTCCAGCCCACATGGCATTTCCCAGTCTGGCTGTGTGAGGTGTCCCGTAAGTACAGCTGTAGCATTTGTACTGTCAGGGGTGCCCGCAGGCCCCTCTTTTGATAATCAACCTGTGTCCTCCAAACTGCCACTGGAGTGGCAGCAGAGAAATGAATGGCTGGGGTGGGACAGTGGCCGGGGGCAGCTGCGGGGCAGGGATTCTCCTACCGAGGTGTGTGGGACGGTGGGGGGAGTGGGGGAGGGCTTTTCAGCCTTGATAAAGGGGAGTGGTTTGAGGGGCAATGTCTCTGCTCTCAGAAAAAACGTCATGACCTTTCTGCTGTCTTCTGAGGACTTTACAACGTTTTCCACTCTGCTTTCTCTTTGGTCCAAAGCGATTGATGGCCCAGGCCCACCAGCAGGAAAACTGAGGCCCAGAGGCAGGGGGCCCTTTGAGTCTTCCCAGATCCCTCTACACCCCCCTGAGGTGGTGGCCTCGAGGACACAAGTCCTTGGGCTAAGGAATGGGCAGTCTCTGGAACATGTAGCTCCTCTGGGGTCATATGATGACTTGCCCGAATCGGGTCTGCCAGAGTGAAGCGAATTCATTGTGCAAACAAGCCGCACTTTTCTCCCTCTTGCCTTCCCTCCGCAAGGAGCTGCTCTTAATGACTATTGATGTCCTGTTTGAAAATGAGTCTCAGGCCAGCCCCAGAGCCTAAGGCTTAAGGGAACTAGATCCCACGTGGCCAACCGTGGTTCTAATCCTGGTCCCTGGGCTTGCTAAACACACTGGGTGAATATGCATGCATGTCCCAAATCCCCACAGGATGGAGAAATTGAGGAGAGATTATGGCATGACCGCGCCCCATGGGGGCAGGTTCTCTCTCTCTCTCTGGTGAGTGCACACACCCTTTGACAATTACAAAAATAAGAAAAGGAGTCTCACTTGTGTGGGGGCCAGGCCTTATGCCTATAGGCAGTTCAGCTTCTTGATGTTCACAATTTAAAAATAATAAAGCAATTTCTTTTGAAAGCAGCAGTGGGAGGGGTGGGGCATGAATCAAGGCTTAGAGGCACTTGCTCTGAGCTCCCATCCCAGCCCTGCCAGTGACCTGGTTGCATGACTCACTGGCCAGCTCTGTCTCATCTGCACACAGAGTGGGTGGGACAGCCTGTGGTTTTCCAACTTGTGTCCCACAGCTAATTTAAGAGGGGACTTGAGTCCACCATAGAAGTAGGACAGAGGCAGGGGAGCCTTCAAGGCCTCCACCCCTTTAACCAGGGCCTCTGCACTATTATCGATTTAACATAGGACCTTGGCCTCGCTGTGCTGTTTAAAGAATGTTGCTAACATTTTTTGTCCCCTCCCACCCCCA